AACCAAACCTTAAGGAGATACGACAATCCTAAACTTATGTGCTACAGAGGACTTGCAAAAGTACATAAATACGCCCGGAAATTATTATGAAATCAGATCATGACTGACATTTTACTTTGTCTATTATACCCGTGTAGGATATTTGTCATTTCAAACCTGAAGAAATCAGAACATCAGTTTGGAATCAGTTTAGATGAGATATAAATGAGAAATCAATCAGTCTGTGAAGTTTTACAATGCTATATTTAACAATTCTTTTTGGTAAGGCCCAAAATAAAACTTCATTGTGAACATTTTTTAAAGGCATTTACTAAAAAAACTTATATATTCATCAAAAGAGTTATCGTCTGTATGCATTCCACTTTTCCTGAAGCATAATTAAAATGTAATAACATTAAAACTTTGCAAAAACAGTTTTGACTCTTGGGGACAAAATTCATTCTTAATGAGATGGCATTTAAAGGGTTAATAACTATACAAAGTTAATACACGAACATCACATTGTTTAACATTTGAGCCATATTCAAAGAAATCCTTATAGGGGTTAAGGTTTAAAAGAGTGGAAAGTTGGCTGTCTGTTGCTCAAACTTCAAGTGTTCCTTCACCATGAGTCGGCACAGAAGTGGAAAAGAATCAACACATAATCCTGAGACAAGATTGAAGGAAATCAAGAGGTTAAAGATTTAAATTATTAAATACAGTCCACAAATTTATTGATTTTTATTCTAAAAAAATAAAAATCTTATTTCTTTTCGATGTATAGATTTACAGACTTGGCAACACATGATTATAGTTCAAGAGTTGGTACCTGGCACAAAGAAGAGCGTTTCATTATAAGGAAAGACAGCTTAGTTGATACAAAAGTTACAGCAAAGGTCTACGTAATCGTCGGTAGTCCCTGTTAAATGGCATTTTTCAACATAAGTTAATTAAGTTGGAAGTTTTTATCGACATCACTACAAGTCAATTCGGCGTTAAACGATTTTTAACGACTTAATTGATGGGTTCAGTAATGTTTGCTCTCGTTGAAGCGTTGAAGAAAATCGTTTCTTTGTTGTGTAATGCGATCCAAATGAGCATTGCTGGTATTTAATATCAATAAAGTTAATTAATAAATATAAAGGTCAAACAAGATGACGGTCACAAAATATATGTAAACGAAAAGGAAAGTTTTGATGTAAGGGAATTTTTTGTTGACACATGTTTACTTTATAGTTTACCTTCAGGAATGCCGAATATCAAACCTTTTTACAAACTTTCGAAGTTATTTTATAGAACGATTATTGTCATTTGTCACTTCAACAACCATTATGAACCTCTTGTTAAAGTAAATTAAGAGTGTAGAATTAAACGTGGAACACAACTTCTTACAACCGAAATTATTTCTCCGACGCAATAAATACATGCAATGATTTATGATGGACGGAAATATTTTAGTACAGAAGTGTATTTTTATTGAAATTGATATTGCAATTGATGTTTACGAAGCAAAACAATCATTTTACATATGAAAAATATTAGACGATGAGTTAGAATTAATATTTGAGATTCAATCATGGTCCCTGATTATCGCTGACATAATGAACAAAAATAAAAACGAGTCGATCCACGGAAATTTTACCAAATGACTTTAAACAATATCATTGCAAATTGAAATATAAAGATTTGAAAAGACAAAGTACTTTCAGAACAAATTGAATAAATAAACATTGACTGTGTTTAATTTATAGCGTAATATTAATAAGATATCAATAGTTTTGTTTCATATTAAATTTATCTATCATGTTGACAAAATTTGTGGCCACAAATGTGTCAGATAAACACGATAATAACTTTATAACTTAACCGATGATATGTAATAAAACGTATCAGATCATCAACTTGGTTGTTTTGCCAAATACAGTGATCGGATAGCATCGACTGCAAATAGTGACAAAGCATAGTGATAAAAGTATAACAATTTGTATGAAATATAACAACTTATCGACAAAAAATTTATCGAACCTATAAACAAACAAAATCCGGTTATTTCTTGAACAACACTCGAATAATAAAAATAATAATTATTATAATGAAATACTCTTTTTATGAAAATCCTATTTAATTTAAAGGCATATTGAATTTACCTAAAACAATAATAAGACTATTTCTAAATTTGATACTGGTGCACTTGCATTGATTATCTTTGTTCAGTTTAATCGTGTTTAGAATCTAAGGACAATTTAAACAAATTGCATGTAAAGTGTTTATGTACGCACTATAAAATGTGCTGATTGAAACATTTAAACTTTATGCGTTCAAGCAAATAACGAATAAGATGTTAAATGTATTACAATTTATTCATTCGTTTTTCAAATTGACCTTGAACTTTTTTTTGAAATAGGCACATTGCAATTAAACATTGTCAGAAATACAATGCTTAAACTACTTTGTAGACAATGTTTTGTATAATAATATAAACTTGCCGATGTAAAGCAGCGACGCTGATCGTAGACGAGACACTCGAGGGATCTTATGAATGTGACTTTATGTATATTAGTTGACTTATAAACGCTTATTTGAATAGTTTCTTCTACGCAACAGATATGTGCATATACGTAAAGAACAATTTATGATCATTTAATTTGTAATTGTAGAAATTAAGAGTTAAGTTTTCATGAAGAAAATCCATTGGTTTAAATGCCGTTACTTAAGAAAAATTCAGTCAAAGAACAACACTATTTTATTTATAATAAATTTGTAGGTGTATTATGTACTTTAAAAAATTCTTTCTCATTTCGTCGTTTGATAATAATTTCTTTACAAACACTTCAGTATAAATTGAAGGACATGCCATTGCATTGAACATATTAAGAATGTTTTTACATTTTGAATACAATCATTGAACTTGAGTGGGTAAATAAAGGCGCTGCATTTGCCACTTAAAAGTCACCTGTGTCCCTTTTTTGCGGAAACAAACTAATCTAAACAATCTGCTTAAAGTTACCGAATATGCGAAACGGAACATGCTATTCTTTTTTTAGTAGATATATACAAGTATTTGATATTGATTTGTATTTAATAATTAATAGTCTACCATAAACCAGTTTCACCAGTTATATAGAGTATTCACTGTTGGATTGTCGCACAATACAACACGTAAATTATTAATTCAGAAAACTTCCTTGGGCATACATAAAATGATAACTAATTAATATAACACCTAAATATGATAATCATATACGAAGCTTGAAGTCAGAGCAACTGTTAAGTAATTAATTTGTAAGCGTACCAAAATAAATATTTACGACATGATAATGCTACTTTATGTCGTCTTAAGTCCATGAATATCTTTACTTTATGAGTTTTTTTTTGTTTTACCATATTAATCAAAGCTATATGCTATTTCACAATGTGTATTATAATATTAAATTTTGGTTAAATCGTCTGTAAACTTTGCTTGTTTGTTTGTATAGAGTTTTTTATCGTGCATACTCTGAAAAGGTCATATGACAACTTTATAGTTTTAATGGTGGAGGAACCCCCTAGATGCCCATTTATGCATTGTTTTGTTCCAGGCACGAGCGAACATCTTAGTAGAACCACAGCCCTATGCATTACAATCTATATAACCTGAAGTATCTATTACACATTGTACATGGTATGTACTATAAAATGTGCTGACCGAAGCATTATTTTACTACAATGAATTCAAACAAAACATATATCTGATGTTCAAAAACTATAGCAGTTATTTTATTATATCTTGTTCCAGCTTAATTGTTACATTACAATTAGCTTTTTACAAACAAAATCAATGACAATAACGTTATTATGCTTACTTTATTGTATGCAATCAACGCACTTTACTTAACAGATATACTTTTAAAAGAACGTATGAATATAACTCCATATCTTCAATTTTGTATCAAAAATATAACATTAATTAAAAGACGATAATTACTGCGTTTGTTCTTAACAAATTATAGATTTGCCGAGTATGCAAGAAAAAGCTTAAAAATCAGCAAGTATTACTAGACTTTTTAGAAAATGTTTACATGACATAGAAATGCAAGGTTTACATAAATTGTGTGTAAACATTTTATTTCTTAAGTGGGTTTGTACGATTTTCTTTAATATTGCATGCATTTGTAGGCGTGTCTTTAAATAAATCAAATTATGTGGCTTTATAATTATCTTTAGAAATATAGTACAATATATTGAAGTTCAAGTCATATTTTAGTGTATGAGAATCATTCTGACATTATTTTTTTTCAATTAATCAGTACAAGTGGGTAAATAAAGCCACAACAAATTACTTCAATATAACACTTGCATGTTACGAGTAAAACAAGCGTAAAACAACTTGTTACAAACATGACTACTAAAATAAAAATAAGGAACATACTCAGTAATTTTTTAAATACACTAAATAATATACAGCTATATGTCTGTTGAAAAAATGTGTTTGAATTTGAAAAAGAATACTTCTAAAATACCTGCCTGATATAAATGTGCAAGAGGGAATGCCGCATCGACATAATCTTCGATAAATGGTAAAAACTGTTCTAGATACTAGATATAGCAGCATTATATTTTGTTCCAAAGCATTTCATTGTATCTAAGTGCAATATCATGTGTGTTTTGTTACATAACACAAACATCCTGTCCCACAACTGTTTCAAGAATCAATCATATAATTATTGAAACAACGAGCCTCTAGCACAGAGTGTGACGGCTTGAAAGGCACTCTTAGAAGGCAAAACAGCCATGTTCAAGGCTATCTCATACTTTCCATATTGGCTCAGGTTAATGCACATTTAGGTTCACATTGGCCACCGTACAATGACCAATTTATGGCTCACAATTCATATCTTTGATTAATACTCCGTGGAAAATGCATCGAGGTAAATTATCACCGCTTTGTATTTCAAAATTAACCCTTGAAGAGCATGACCATACTCGACAGTGAAATCTACTTTTTGTGTCTTAATGGGCGGATGGATATTCACCTAGCATAGAATACATACAAACACTTGGACGTGATTTTTTTTATTCAGTAACTATGACATCATTATTTGTAGAGCACAAAGATATATTACTGTATTGTATGATTTGATAATGTATGTGAACTTTTAATAAATATGTTAATACATACGACAATAATTGCGTTTATACTAAATGCTTTAATTTGAAAATATATAACTTTGAAATGAACCAAGAACATTTCCAAGGTAGTGCTTTTACAAAATTGACATCTTGAGATATATATGATTTCAATACCAAAAAGAAAAAAACGGCTATTATAATGTTCAAACTCTAAAAAGTCAACGTAAAACATGAACTTAGTTGTACTTTGCACTCTTCAATTGACTTCGCAAACAATCTTATTATAGGCTAAAGAACAGGAAAGTTTGGTTGCATATAAACGTTCATATTGAAGTTATTTTGAAGTGCCTTTGAAAGATAGTATAAGTATGAAGTATGATATTAATCTTGTATAAGACAAGAGCAATATATTTCTAATGTGTTTTAAGTGGAAAGAAAACCAATTGAGTCAACATGTTCGTTTTGTGTCTGGTGATATTTCTTGACGTTCGATTTTTCATGTCTTTTTACAGGTTGTAAGTTTGCATTTAATTAAATATTTGACAAATGATATTCATTTATATTTTTTTCATTTGAAACATTAGTTCATGCCATTGTCTGAAGTAACGATGTTTTATGCTTTTAATAAATGATAATGTACAACACCAATAGATATACATTTTTAAGTTAAATGGGGAGTTGAATCAAATTAAACTGTTGAAGCTTTTGGTGACTGTAAGAAGTATCTTAATTTGATTAATGTCAGTGCAAATGAGATGTTGTAGTACTGTTGGTATATATGTAAGCAAATGTGATTTTAAATTTTCGTATAAACCTGTGGTGAAATATAAACCGTTTTGTCTAATAACTCAGTAGTATTAACAAATCTGTTTAACTTAATTGTTCTTCAGTCACTAACTTCTAGCATGTCTTGTGGTTATAGTTTGCTTGTCATTACAGAGGTAAAGATCAACGACAGATTACAACCCGCAAAGTCATGTGCAAATATTGATGACTAATTGTCAGACATACGCAATATCATACAGACATTTAATCTCATGGTTATAGATTTATGTGGTTATTCTTTCAGATAATTTATTTCTAATAAATACAGAAATTAACACACTCTTGGATCTTTTCTTATATATTTTCTTATATTTGTCATCATGTTCATACAAATTTGAAAAATGCTACTAAAAAGGTTGAAGGCTTGCTTAACGAAACCTTTGCAAAATTAAAAGACAATTTTTTTAAATAACAAGGATAGTATTGAAATTTAAAAGGCGCCTCTTCAATGTCTATTCTTAATATCAAAAAGACTTTTTTAAATCATACATTCACCTGAATTTGACTAGCAAATATTGAAAACAATATTCTGGCAGCAAATATTTGAACAAAACGTTAAATGAAATAGAAATAGACCATCAATATACATTTTGTTGAGAGACAAAAAAGACCCTATATGGAGTACTATTATAATAGTATTGATATAATAAAATATGAATTGATTAACAATAAAACACGTAGACTAGCAAATGTGATCATAGCACAACCGTGGCAGTGAGAATTTTACATATTACTAAAAAGCATTGTATAAAATAATTTAACGTGAGATTCTACATTTGTAATTGACTAGTGTCATATGTAAGACTTCAAGTATAAGGCATATGCAACAACACTCATTTTGACTAGCATTAAGAAATACTCGAGATTCTGTCATTGTTATTTCACATTTCGTTCAAATATATATCCCGAATTTCAGAAATACCCATTTAAAATCTCATATCTTTAAACATGATAAACGATTTCAAATGGAATGGAAGTTCCAGATTATCAATCTCTTTTTGCACATATCTTCCATGAGTAAGCGATTCTCTAATAGTCAATCGGGTGATACTTTGTAAACGCGGTGGTGATTTCAGAGACAATTTGATCGCGTGATATCTATCGTAAGATTTGTCTCGTCTGCTGCAGGATGAATGTGACGTCTGTTTTCGACGAGGATGGCACATTCGAAATCCAATAGAAGTAAGCTCCTTTGCTATACTAAGCCTTGTTTTTGTATGAAAGTCGTGATCATTGTGTGTATATTGGAGTAATTTTGCTAAAGGTGTTAGTCCTTTGAGATTTTCTGCATTAAAGCGACTTCCAGACTGTATGAGAGTCAAAATAGTTTCACGACAGGCGGCACTACAAGCAATGTGCAGAGGGGTGTCACTATTGATATCATCAGGCACATTGACGTCTAGTCCGTCTCGTATAAGTTCAACTAGAACCTCTGGTGCATCCTTTGCGGCAAGATGGATTGGCAATCTTCCTGCAGAAGACTTGACTAGAGGGTTTGCACCAATTGAAACAACTCGCCTTATTGTATCAGCCTTAAATAAAAGAAACAAATATATCTGAATATATATTGTAATATTGAATTTGTTTAATATTTAGTATTATAATCAAATAAATTGTAAGTGCAACATTCAATTTGTTTTACATTTAGATTTATCGTACCAGTATACAAAATAAGTTGACAAATAACAGGGAAATATATACCTGAATAAGATCATAGAGAATTTGATTGAAACAGCAATTGTTACTTTGCTAGATATACAATATCGTTAATTGTGTACACATTGAGGATGATAACTTGATAGTATGTATCTCTACTATTAGTTAGGATAAAAGTCTAAAACTTGAACGGTTTATGGATTATCGTGCACTTTTGTTTCTTTTTTTCTATTAAAAAAACAAGACATATCTGAAAGAGTGTAAGAATATAACAGGACTGTATTTTTCTGAAATCATTTTAGGCGATTTAAGTAATGTTTTAGGATTTATTTTTTTTAATCTGATATTAGTCGGTCGTTTACATGATCTCTTATAATACAGATTATGGATACTTAAATGTTAAATGATCTGTTTCTTATGTTATACTTTTTACACTGAAAAACAAAAACAAAACATATCTACCTTGTTCGTGAGTTTAGATGATATAATTGAATGTATAACATTATCTCCCCGTTTGTCAACACTGTGTATATCTGCTCCTGCTTTAACTAAATATGCAGCAACGTCCGTAAATCCGTAACTAGCTGCTAAGTGCAAGATTGGCTTTCCATTGAACAATCCATTCACATTAGCACCTTTATCAATTAGGTCTTTAACTATATCGTTGTCTCCTATTTTCACTGCACTACATAGCAACTTATGCAGTAAATATACATTGTCTTTTTGGCGGTTTGCTATCCTAATATCCTGGTCCATTGCAGACAGCATTAGCTTCATACACTGAACCTTGCCCTTTGCAAAAACATCGAGCAACAAAGAAACGAGTTCAGCTTTGAGAAGATGTTTGTGTAGTTTGAGATGTTCCTCTAAAGCTTTTGATTCCAGATTTTCTATGCACCATTTAATACACTGTAGAGCATATTCTGGTGAAGCTTTTGTATCGATAAATTCCATCTGAAACAAATGAATATATTATATAACAACTGTAGACAGAGTAGAATGTATAAATAGTTGCTATAGAACTACAAACTGTTCAAATGAAACTCCATTCATGTAGTTATATTTCTAATCTTTATTTTTTACCGTGTCTTAGTCTTAATATACAATTTTTATTATCAATTATTAACTCTAAAATGTTATGAAAATAAGACAATAATTCTTTTTTGTTTTAATTTTTATAGACTTGAGCTATAATCATAGAAAAAATTTATTAATATAGGTTATTAACTTGTGTTGTTACTTCAACCAAAAAAAAATAACTTGTTTTCCGTTAATTGCTTAATCAGAAAAAAAAACACAATAACATTTACCTTTATTTTCTCAGCTTCTGTAAATAATTCAATACATTAATAAATTATTATTTCTTTATACAAATGTACGATAACTGGCTGTTATAAAAAATCCAGAGTAATCTCGTGTAGGTTTTTTTTCTACTTCATTTTGTACAGTGAGTTCTTTCAACGCATGTTCGATTACTATCAAAAGCGTTTGAAAATAAAATATTTAAACCCCTACTCGGATCACATTTGACATAAGCCACAATGACCTTATGAATTAGTAAGAGCTGACTTTAAAGCCCGCTTGAATACACTGCAGTATACATTTCAATACAAATCAATACAGACACAGGGTTAACAGATTATATGTACAATGATATCAAATTCGGTCTTAAAAATTTAATTGCTTTGTTGAATTAAGAAAACATTCAATTTAAATAATGTTTTAATGATTGTGGTAAGCAAATAAATCTAAATAAACGTCAGTTTTTATCACTGTTTAAATAATCTTTACAATCAATCTTTTGTTCATTTGTATATTTATTTACTTTGCTACTTTATATAACAAATTAATGTTAAAAACTGCCTGATAAAGTAAGTATAAGTTTCTATTCCTTAACACTCAATAAGATGGTTAATGATGGATTATAAGCATTATAAATCAACATAATCGTCTATTTAGTATTATTATCCGTATTATTTGTAATTTGAACATAAAGTTTAACAATGACCTTTGCAACGATATATCTGTATATCTCGATGATTAAAACAAATTATCTGCAACAGTTTACTTCCTTCAATTAAGTGTATGCTATACATTCTAGTATATTTAATTTGATTAGAATTTATATAACATCAGCCCAGTGATACACCAGTTCTAAAATGATAGACAGCATTTCAAACATATTTTAAGTGAGGTGTGTATTGTTTATATGTTATTCTGTAAGCTTTGTTTGTAACACCATATAATTCTGTATTTATGGCATATGTACTTTATCAGCTTATTAATTTTGTCTTATTTTGATTGTGATGTATATGATACGTAAATAAACTATTTTATTTGATCATATAAATATTAAAATGACGTCGTATTCAACATGTTACTTCCAGTTAAAGTACCTACCTCTACAAGAACAGTTGAATATTAAATAATGGTATACACGTTGATTCAACATGTACAGAACGATGATATCATATTTTAGGGCGCTGCCGTAAAAAATTAAACTGCTCTAGCTCAGATGCGAAGTATCATATGGGCTTTAGATCTGAGTCTTTAGATTAATCCTACAGAACATAAACCAGAACCATATTGTCTGATGTCAAATCAATCCCCATTCTAAAATCTATACGTAATGACGAATGCAAACTGTCATATATAATGCTGAAGTATTTTCCTGACAACATTTGGTTAATTGACGTCATACTTTGGGGTTATTCGACATGTCAATGTTCTGAGACAAGGTTGCGAAATAATGCACTTGAAAAATAAGTCTTTGTATAATATAAAAAGGCTGCACCTATTACAAATAAATATAATAGCCGATTGATTCCATTGATGCATTTCATTTCGATAGGAAAGGCGCAGGTTATATCTATATATTTATTATAAATGAACATACTTATGTTCAAAGTACTCTTTGAAATTAAACTTAACCGCTTTGACATAATTTATGCTGTGTTATTCGTTAGTGTACAAACTGATATTGTAAAAACCTATATAAGAAAACTAACAATACTTTGCATGGAGGCGTGGACGGTACCTTGCACTTTCCAGTGCCGTTCATGAACAGGCTAAATCAAACCGAGCCTACAGCATTTTCCACTTTCCGTTTTTGACGCTTTTTTTATTCTTATTTTCTCTCTTTCCTAACATGCTTCAATAAATAACAATAAATTTGAAAAGTTTTAACATCATATAAGCTAAGGTTTAATTATGGAGAATGCCAAAAGACCTAGTCATATCCACCTACTTTGCTGAAATCAAGGCTGTGCACTTAAAGTCCGCAACTTTTTTTTTCAATTACAATGTAATTACGTTTCCAAAATTATACTTTAAAAAACATTGAGTCATGCAAGTTGAACTAAATATAACGTAATGTTAAGCATGATTATACTAATATTAAAATTATTCAAAAGTCGAATTATCGAAAATCCTTTTAGTGCAGTGTTAAAGAACTAAGCAATTTTGCGTGAAAGCAAACTAATTCAATTTTAAGCAGTAGGTTTGAAGTGGGCAGTTTTAAGTGGGCATTGACAATTTCTCGTAATGTGGTAGGCGATATTGTGAAAAGGATAAAAATGTTAACCAATGTTATTTTTTTTATAATATGAAGTCATGATTCGTTTGTTTACTTTAAAAATAAAGTAGATAAGTTAAATACTTTTCTGTTAATAATAATGTAAAAATAAATTATGAATAATGAGCGAACCAGATTTCACACCATTTATTATTAGCATACGCTTATCGTAATTCAATTATTTAAATACATGTAAAATATTTGTGTGTTTAAATGAAATAGCAAAAATAAAACGGCGATTTTGGCCAAAGTCAGTCAAAGTAACTGTATACTCATGGGCAGATGGATATAATTTCTCTAAAATAGAAACATGTAATAAATTTTAACAGAAAATAAACAAACTGACGAACTTACTTGTCAAACAATGTAAAGTATGAATGTATTTCATAGCCCCTTTCATGCACTTTATACTTATCATTAAATATATATATGCATATAAAACATTTAATTTCATTTGCAGATATGCTTGCATTGCAAATTCAAACAGAAACATACAATTTGAGCCTGAAACAATTAAGAACACAACAATAACCTTTGCAGAAGATTATCCATAATAATTCATTCCCCGAAGATTGAAAGAAAGTGCCAGATTGTTTCGATTGCATTTAACTTCATATTGGTTATGTTTGATTTAAATTCACCATCAGTTTGACCGCACAAAATTAATTCAACATACATTTAAAGATGAATGGTTAAAAGTGCAGGACAAGATTCACAAATTTGTGGTCCAAACATTAATTAAGCTCAACCTTAACCAAGAAGTACGAAACATAAATAACTTTAGTTTAATTATTAAACGTTCTTTGATCTGCCTCCTCAAGAACATGTATAACCCTTGTTTGCAATTTTACTTACTCTTTGTACTTTCCTAAATATAACTTACTCTTTTATGCTTTAATATTGTGTGTCGTTTTCGAGTACTTTGTTTTTGATGAGATTAATAGAGGTTTATTGTATGATAGCCTTTTGATAACCACACTCTCCTATCTTTAACCTTTATGTTTAAATTAAAGTATCTAAAGTAGGAGGTATTAACGTGATATGTATGTCAATATTTTTTTTCTTTGACATTCACTTAAAGGTAGAGGAGTGTATGAATCTATTCTATAGATTACCAATGAGTGAAGTGATTCAGTGTATTGGTTTTTTAACCCTCAGTTTATAGAAATATTTTGCAATTAGTCAAATTTTGAACTCATTGCTTCTATTAAAGAAAGTAAAGAAAGTTAAATACCGGTAATTCAAACTGATTCGTTATCAGATAATGTATGGGATCAAAACATTGACACTGAAAAGGAAGATTTGACATAATCATGTGAATGACACCTATTTATGAATGACACGACCTTCAAAAGTAATTTACGCACCGTTTATTGAATGCAGTGAAAAGAATGATTCACTCATAATGACTTTTCGAACGGCAAACGTTACAAATCACTTTTATTAAAGTTAAACTGTGTTTATATGACGTTATATCTGGTTTAGTAATAATTAACAATTAAATTTAATGTGATTATCATATCTAAAGAGAGATGAACAAATTGAGAAAATAAGAATCCTTAAAGAACGCCCTAAAACGGCAAAAATGAAAATGTTGCAGGCTCGGTTTGATTGAGCCTGTTCATGGATGGTACTGTCAAGTGCAAACTACCGTCCATGCCCTCTAGCACCGGCTAAAGCAGAATTCAACATTTAAACATGAAATGGTAAAATTTTGAATTTAGAAACATCCGCAAATGTGTACATACGGCGATTTTTCATGGAACCTTTAATGTGACACTTCCGTGACATTCCATGAAAAGCGGCGTATGGTCTCCAAGTTATAGAAAGTGTGTGCACTAAACAAGAACACAATGAGCGGAACTAAATAAAATTAAATTTTGGAAGGGGATCAAAGTCTATTCATATCTTGACATCTTTACTTCTGCTTTAAGTTTATTTATTTTAGATACTATTGCCATTTTAAGTGAACCATTTTTTACCCTTCTACTCCACCGTGGTGATTTTGTTCTTTTTTGGACTTGTGCTTACTGTACAATGATTAATTACACATTTGATAGACAAGGTTCTGTGGCTATGTTTTAAAGAAACTTGTCCTTGAAAATTATAATAAAAACTTTTAAATTGATGGCTGATAACGTGACCGTCTATCGGACAAACTGTTTTTAAAATGTCCTCAATCATAAGATTAATTTGTTGAAATACAGTAACAATCAAACAAAGAACATGCGTGTAAATAGAAATTATACCGAATAGCAAACTTTTTATCTAGATTGATTGGGAAAATTACCTTGCAGTTGTTACGTCAGTAATAAGTTTTTATCTTTTTTTTTTCAAATCATTTTTTGTCAAATAAGGCAAATTCAATTATAGAAACGGGACATAGATCACAGAAAACTTCACATGTAATTTTATTCAAACCAGTGTTAGATCTACTTCATTTCTTTTATTACCAGTGTAAGATAAGATATACATATAGTTAAAAACATATTGTCTTCAAGAAAGATTGCTGTCTTCGTGACATGAGTTTACGAAACAAGCAGTATACATGCACCAATTTCGCATTTATATTGCAAATGCAGAAATCCTTTTATCATGGTTTGAACATGATTAAAGTTTATAATTGTTTAATGTTTATATTGTTTTTGTCGGGTAAATAACTTAAATCGTTTTCCATGTCGTAAACATAGATACAGGTAAGATTTACTCCCCTTACTGAGAATAAACTATAAAACATTATAAATGTTCCTATGCTTCAAGACACTAACATAAACATCAGCAATTGTTTTAAAGCAATTCATCTGACTTGACTTATATACTTATCATTAAGTGTATAAACATGTATGTATAAATGTATGGTAAAAATAATTGGCACAGGTGTATTGAAAACATAGACCTGTTATTAGAAGAATTAGAAGAGTACGAAAGACCGGTGGTGACATTTCACCTTCTTGAATTTTTGGGTTCATCTTCACGAATTCACAATTTGACGATTTCAACATACATTATTCACGAATTCACGGTTTCAACTTTTTAATGAATTCATAGTTTGAAGTAGTGTAATATATCATCATGAATAAAAGAAAAACATGAGTAAAAGTAGTACATGTATTAAAATTTATTTTGGTAAAATTCACAGTTAATTATATCACACAACATAATATGTTTAACGACCACTGGTGGCTGTTCCAGTACATGGATCAACTCCATTTACGGGACCATTTGCGAATTGTTTTGACAGAACTTGTGCTCTGAAATAAAATGTAAATAAGTTTTAATATATGAGGAATGACGTGTAACTATGATATAAATTTAAACAATCAAATGGAACAATTTGTCGAACTAGAATATCTCCATTAATATTCTCCGATATAAGATATACAGATTTTTAAAAATAACTTAAAAAGAGACACGATAATATACATCCGTCATCGGCCGTAAAGACTAACAGCTAATGTACCAGTATGTCAAAATCTACAATAACTATATAATTACTGAAATTTCTAATATGATTTATCAAAAACTGTACATTCAACCTTATTTTAAGCACCGTGTGTCCCGTTATAGTTTGGTTTCATCTATAATAACAAAAATATCGATTTCCCAAATAGTCGCTTTAAAAAAATTGTTTTAAAATGATTTGGATATTTGCTGCAAAACATTACTTTACCCACTAATAAAAATTTCATAACAATGTTAGTTTATCATAAAAATAGAAATAATCTTACTCTTTGCAGACTCCAGCACAGACCAGTCCGGTGATAAGGGCATTGTGTCCGTCAATTTTGTCAAGAAGTGGTGGACATAATTCTCTTTCACACTGAGCTTCAGTCTCGTCACATCCGAACTGACTAAGGAGCTGATTGGCCAGATTGAGAACTGTAAAAAACAGATGATGGTTAAAACAAGTAGAAAATATAACGATTAGCAACTGTTTTTTTAATAAGTATATTCCTGCATTTTAATGGATAAATTTGTTTATAAAGTTCTTCACTAATTTTATAAAGTTTTTCACTATAAAAACTGTGTAAAACAAACTTGAAACTAAAATAAATATATTCAGCTTAAATATTTGCAGTCAAAAATTGAATTCTGTCAATCTGTATGGCACACATAAGAAAGTATTTGATACTTCAACAATTTATGCATTGTAAAACTAAAGATTGTATGTCATTTAACTCAATAATTTGAATAATATTTCGCGAAACAAAGACGATAATGAAATACAATTGTAAATTTTGAGATTTTATCTTTGATCATTATTTAACAATTAAATAGATAATATTTCACATGGAATTATCACATGGTGATTGCTTCATCTTCTTAAATGCAGCATTTGTTTTATGGTACTTTCATTGTAGGAAGAATATATACTGAATTGTACAAAACAATGATAAGTTAAAAGGATATGATGTTTTTCTCGTTTAAATGCATATGTATACTTGCTAATTCTTTATTTTTATACAACATAGTTTTTACACAATCATGTTACATTTATTTTGGTATATAGGTTGTATTGTAAGTTTTGTAGCATTGTGTCATAAAATATGAGCCGCGGCATGACAAAACCGACGTAATGCGTTTGCGACCAGCATGGATCCAAACCAGCCTGCGCATCCGCGTAGTCTGATCAGGGTCCATGCTGTTCGCTTACAAACTCTATAACAAGTAGAGAAACTGATAGCGAACAGCATGGATCCTGATCAGACTGCGCAGATCCATACTGCTCGCAAACCCATTATGTTGGTCTTGTCGTGACGCGGCTCATTTTATAGACATATCTTACTGTCATATCCTCCCAGTAAGCTCTCAATGAAACGTTTGTCGTCAATCTTTGCACTCATGGCAAATGGCAACACAGCAAGTAAAAAGATAGCAATCTTCATTGTTCCTGATGAACATAGAGAAAGTAATTATGAGTACAATATAAACAATAATGTAGATATGAAGATTAAATAAAAATGCAGAAACGTGTTGTTAGAGCTCAAAAAAGAAACACAACGTCAGCTATTTTTTTAGTTTTAGACGAGAGAAACATTAACGGCTTTTAATAGATGGTGGAACAAATTAAATTCTTAAATGGCATGAAGCCAAATTAAAAACAACTTATTATTTAAACTAATAAAATTTTGATTTAAAAACGTCAACAGTTATGTTGTGGAATTAACTCGACATAATTTTATGAAATGCTGCCTCCGTTATTTTAATGCACATAATTTAAGTAATATAATAAAAAAAAGAAATTTTCCCTATTAAAATATTCCATTTCAGAAATTCATGTAAAACCTGCTCATTCTCTCTCTGCCTATAACAAACATTCACAATTACTATATATCCTTAATACACTAACAAAGAGTAGATATAATAGTATGCATTTTTCACAGAATAATTAATCATATTCGCCAATTTTCTAAAGATTAATATTCTTCAATTCCAAAAACAGTTTAAGTTACGTATTCTATTCTATAAATCAATGCTTTTATTTATCTGAAACATCTATATTCTTGTTACCTGTTTTAGTAAGTCCGAGAGAATGATTTACTTGTATTCTTGAAGGAATCTCCGGTCCTTTTATAAGGGCGAGAACAAATCCGGCCACATAATTGTCGAAAATGGACACGATAAGAAAGGTCATTTGATGCAATGATAACAAGAGTTGACCATATTTATATACATTGAATAACAATATATATATATGCCTCATATTTCGTGCATTAACATCTGGAGACCCACGTGGGCGCATTTTAAGCCCAAGCCAGAGGACTAACCTGTAGATGTTGGTGCACAAAAAAGGTGCGTAAGCGATATTCTTGCATAAAAATATACATCTTAATCCTTTATTTTTTTATTTCGTATAATGAACCATTTCGCCATGCTTTCCAAGTGCATGTGCGATTGCAATGGACATTTGGCCGTCATTGCAATAAACTGTTTTTATATCGCGCACTTTCTATGTATGTTTTTTCTTGAATACCAGCGTGCGCAGTTTAAATACGAGTATAATTATTAATTCTCATATTTGAAATCATTTTATTTTCAATTTCTTAAGAAGTAAAAAAGGATTCGGACAACTTTAAAGGATATGTATATTAACAGAAATAGTCAATACCATATAATATATAAGAACCATTTGTAATTTAGATTGATCACTTTGTTGTTTTCTGTTTGGTTTGAAAGCAGTAATTTCAGCTTGCTGGATATTTACACTTACAATAGACACTTTCAAATGAAAAAAGTTCAATCAGAAACTGTGAAACTTAGGGATTTTACCACATTCAGTTCTGAAACGACTGTTCATGTTTAAAGAGTTTGGATGTATAAGGTAACTATAATTTTATGAATGATAATCGAATGATTTAAAAAAAAAAACAACATTGTTAAATAGCAATAGTAATGCTTAGTGACACTGCGACATTTTCCTTCTGAATGTTAATAAAATGCAGGAGTGTTTTAGCTATTGAACTTATAACATATTGAACATAAAAAAAGAAAACCCTTTTGCTTAACGTTGCTGAAATATCTTGTTGCATATGGTGAACGATACTGTTGTAGTTTAGTATGGTTGAAATACAAATCAACCAGTTACAACAAGGGGGTGGCTTTAAAACGTTGTCCCCTACTCGATATCATTGTTATTTTTCTGGTCAGTTGTCATCATTTTTATTACAATGTTCTTTAAGCGTTGTCGATTGAATACTGTTTAACCCATTGTATGTACGTAAGCGTAAGAAACATTGCATTTTAATGACTCTAAAACATGAAATAAGACATAATATCAATGCAGCATTACGTTAACAAATAATTGATTTGAGCCGTGTCACGACAAACCAACATAGTGTGTTTGCGACCAGCATGGATCCAGACCAGCCTGCGCATCCGCGCAGTCTGATCAGGATCCATGCTGTTCGCTATCAGTTTCTCTTCTTGTAATAGAGTTGGTAAGCGCAGGATCCTGATCAGACTGTGGATGCGCAGGCTGGCCTGGATCCATGCTGGTCGCAAACGCACTATGTTGGTTTTGTCGTGACGTGGCTCATTTGTTAAAACGTTCTATAGATGGACATAAGTGCTTTTAATTGATATGGTTGACAATGCTTCAAAATTATTTATTTAACGGCAGTTATATTATACATATTTTTCGATATTCATTGGACAAACATTTAGTCTCATAGAGTGTTAAGATTCATGATTGTTAATTTGCCAAAATGAGTAAAAATCGCATGACAAATTATGTTTATATTTAATATTTTATTTATTCAATTTTGCATATAAACATATTTAACGTCCAGAAATTCCACCAGTGCATGGGTCAACCCCATTGACTGGACCATGTGCAAAATGTTCAAAGTATTCTTTGAAATTAAACTTAACAGTTTTGACATATGCTGTGTTATTCGTTAGTATATAACGGATATGTACAAACTGATATTGTAAAAACCTATATAAGAATACTAACATTACTTTTGTATGGAGGCGTGGACGTTACCTTGCACTTTCCAGTGCCATCCATGAACAGGCCCAATCAAACCGAGTCTACAGCATTTTCCATTTTCCGTTTTTGACGCTTTTTATGGATTCTTATTTTCTCTCTTTCCTAACATGCTTCAATAAATTACAATAAATTTGAAAAGTTTGAACATCATATAAGCTAAGGTTTAATTAATGGAGAATGCCAAAAGACCTAGTCATATCCACCTATTTTTCTGAAATCAAGGCTGTGCACCTAAAGTTCGCACAGATTTCTTTTATTTTCAAAAAGAATTTAATTATGTTGAATTTTTCATGTGTCAAAAATATACTTTAAACCGCATTGAGTCATGCAAGTTGCGCTAAATATAACACAATGTTAAGTATGTTTATACTTATATTAAAATCAGTTCAAGCGTCGAATTATCGAAAATCCTTTTAGTGCAGTGTTAAAGAACTAAGCAAATTTGCATGAAAGTAAACTAATTCAATTGTAAGCGGTAGGTTTAAAAGTGGGCAGTTTTAAGTGGGTGATGACAATTTCGCATAATGTGGTAGGCGATAATGTGAAGGGATCAAAAAGCCGACCACTGTTATTTTTTGTCATATGAAGTCATGATTTGTTTGCTTTTAAAATAAATTAGATAGTTTATATAGTTTATTGTCTCATTTTTACATATCACATTACAATATGAAAAAAATACATAGCATTTAAATGTAAAAACCAATCTAAACACATTTATTGAGACACTTTTCATTGCTTAAAAACATGATAAAGTACTATCATATAGTTCATAAGAACAGAAATATTTCACTCTTCCTTTTGGATAACAAGTTAAGCATAAACTGTTCACTTCTTTAACTAACATAGTTATGTTCTGTTTATCTACCATAGAGACCTATTGACAGTACTACATTTTAAATATTTGATACAAAGTTTTGACCACTTAATTTTCCAATAGCATTACATAATCACGTGTTAAAGAACACTTGTATACATGTAAATTAATACCAACAAGGTCCGTTGAAAGGAAGGTCTTCATATTATATATAATTTATCAATTGCCTCTATTTACATAGTAAAATCTTTAAAAACTGCCATAAAACACATAAATCTTAAGAAACTGAACTTTGTAAATGTTACTCTAGTGTGTTTATAAGAAACGCTATAAAAATCAGATGTTATCTCTATCAGATCAAGGGTGAACGGACTAGCAATGTTTTGGTACACATGTTAGAAGATAATTTAAAACGTTTTGATGTTTATATCAATGTAAAAAAAATTGTACATAATGAACATACTAGATTTCTCAGCATTAATCATTAGCATACACTCAGCTCAATTCAATTCTTTAAATATATGTGTGTCTTAATGAAATATAACCAAATAAAACGGCGGTTAAGGCCAAGTCAGACGCAAAGTAACTGTATACTCCAGGATAGATGGGCATATTTTCCATAAAATGGAAACCAAATTTTGACAGAAATTAACTTATTATTGCCTTTCCATTTTCAAGCCATTACCACTGACGCTTGGGTAGAAATCTTGCCCCGAACTGTAAACACTCTATCAAAACTATTTTAATGTTTTTTATGCTATCACTGCAGATTCATGCAAAAACATGCACTTTGAGCCTTAAACAATTAAAAACACGCCATTAAGCTCGTTTAATATGTTTGATTTAAATTCACTAATAGTTACATTCATTTGATTGCATAAAATTAATCCAACATGAATTTAAAATTGAATGGTTTCAAGAGCAGTACAAGATGCACAAATTTGTGGTTCAAACATTAATAAAGCTCAACCTAAACCAAGAAATACGAAACATAAATAACTTGATTTTAATTATCAAACGTTCTTTGATCTGCCTCCGCAAGAACATGTATAATCCTTGTTTGCAATTTTACTTACTCAATACAACTTACTCTTTTATGCTTTAATATTGTGTGTCGTTTTGAGTACTTTGTTTTTGATGAGATTAATAGAGGTTTATTTATGACAGCCTTTTGATAACCACACTCTCCTATCTTTAACCTTTATGTTTAAATTAAAGTAGCTAAAGTAGGAGGTATTAACGTGATATGTATGTCAATATTTTTTTTCTTTGACAATGAATCTATTCTATAGATTACCAATGAGTAAAGTGATTCGGTATATTGCTTTTTGAACTTTCAGTTTATAGAAATATTTTGCAATTAGTCAAAGTTTGAACTCATTGCTTCTATTAAAGAAAGTAAAGAAAGTAAAGAAGGTTAAATAACGGTAATTCAAACTGATTCGTTATTGTCCAACAATATTGACCTGGCACTTCATTAATTTCCGTAAAGGTCAGGTGATAAACAGTGGTATCTAGAACAGAACAGTATTTAACAGAAATAGTCAATACCATATAATATATAATAAAAGAACCATTTGTAATTTAGATTGATCACTGTGTTGTTTTCTGTTTGGTTTGGTTTGTGAGCAGTAATTCCAGCTTGCTGGATATTTACACTTACAATATACACTTTCAAGTGAAAAAAGTTCAATCAGAAACTGTAAAACTTAGAAAGGGATTTCACCACATTCAGTTCTGAAACGACTGTTAATTGTTATGTAGTTTGGATATATAAAGTAACTATAATTTTATGAAAGATAATCGAATGATTTCAAAATTTCAGCAATTGTTAAATAGCCATAATGATTAGTGACACTGTGACATTTTCAATCCGAATGTTAATAAAATGCAGGAGTGTTTTAGCTATTTAACTTATAACATATTGAACATAGAAAAAAGAAAACCATTTTGCTTAACGTTGCTGAAATATCTTGTTGCATATGGTGAACGATACGGTTGCAGTTTAGTATGGTAAGCGTAAGAAACGTTGCATTTTAATGACTCTTAAACATAGATTAAAGACATAACATCAATGCTGCATTACGTTAACAAATAATTGATTTATTAAAACGTTCTGTAGATGGATAAAAGTGCTTTTAATTGATATGGTTGACAATGCTTCAAAATTATCTATTTAATGGCAGATATATTATACACATTTTCCGTTATTCATTTGTAATACATTTGAGTCGCATCACGACAAAACCAACCATGGGTTTGCAACCAGCATGGATCCGGACCAGCCTGCGCATCCGCGCAGTCTGATCAGGATCCATGCTGTTCGCTTTCAGACCCTATAACAAGTAAAGAAACTGATAGCGAACAGCATGGATCCTGATCAGACTGTGCAGATGCGCATGCTGGTCTGGATCCATGCTGGTCGCAAACCCATTATGTTGGTTTGTCGTGACGCGTCACATTTATTCTCATAGAGTGACAAGATTCACGATTGTTAATTTGCCAAAATTAGTAAAAATCACATAACAATCATGTTTATATGGAATATTTTATTTATTCAATTTTTGCATATTAACATATTTAACGTCCAGAAATTCCACCAGTGCATGGGTCAATCCCATTGACTGGACCATGTGCAAATTGTTTTGCTAGCACTTGAGACCTGAAAAGACAAAATATATTTGATAAATTATGTTAGAATTTGATGAAAATATTATTGTTTTACCATATAAAATAGGAAATAAACATATTTAGCAATGATTAAAATACAATTACATTTGATTTAGTACTTTTAAAAGACGTAGTATAGTGTGTTTCGTTTAACGAAGTGAAATGTTTCTTATATTATAGTTTACAGCATATGTCTAATTTGTAAGTTAATAAATATTTTAGATAGGTTTGGACAAAAAAATAGTATTTTTATTTTGTAATGTGTGTATACGAACTCTTTGCAAACTCCAGTACAGACAAGATTTGTAATGAGGGTATTGTGGCCGTCTATTTTGTTGAGAACTTGTGGACACAATGTGCTTTCACATTGTGCTTCAGTCTCGTCACATCCAAATTGACTAAGAAGTTGATTGGCAAGGGCAAGAACTATAAAGAAAGTGATAATTAAGATTTTATAACATGATTATACATTTTATAGTTTCATACATAAAATACAACTTTCATAAATAAAAACATTGATAGATTATTTTCATGTTTTAATACTAGCAGCTTAAATGTTCTATATTAAGTATTCCTAATGACAAGTCGATATACTTAATATGATATCATTTAACTTTTTAAAAGCTTATTGTGAGTGTTACAGTGTTCAAATTATTACACTTGACCAGAGCACTTTAAAATTTGCTTAAATTGAACATGGTCAAAATCCACTATTACAATGTATAGACTAAGTATGAACTACTATACATGTATTATTTTCCCCAATTCTTCAAAAGAAAATGTATTCATTTTAGGCTAAATGTGGCTTTTTCAGGAATGTTTCTATTGGACTGAATCTTACTGTCATATCCACCCAGTAAACTCTCAATGAAACGTTTGTCGTCAATCTTTGCACTCATGGCAAATGGCAACACAGCAAGTAAAAGGATGGCAATCTTCATGTTTTCAGCTACAAATGAATGAACTACTACCAGTTATTACTCTTGATGAAATAATTACGAACTATATGTATTTATCATTTATAACCGGAGTATTTTTAGTACATTCTAAAATCTGATTTTGTTTCTTAAACAATTTCATCACGATTTTCATAAATTTACTGATTATATCGGCCTGGAGTCGCATAATTTTTCTTGAAAAATAATCTCCAAGCACACTATTCTATATTAATGGATGGAACAAATGACACTTTTGATTTTATTGTATCATACATATAGAATACCTTGTAAATACATATACAAAATGTATGTGAATACAATGGAAATGGTAGGAATATTCAACCATATAAGACAGAAAGATAAGTACACTGTTGTTGTATAAGTGCTCATCAGACGTAATGGTAGAACTTCTATAAAACCGGTATAAATGAAATGTAAATAATTTCAGTTAAGTATAAAATGAAGAGAAAATGAGTTGCCTTGGTATTATGTGAAATATGAAAAATTGAAATAACAATGGCAATCAAAGAGGAAAAAGTAGATAGATAGTTATTTGAACAAACAAGGTCCGTCTTTATATTTTGATTTATATTATTCTGTAAGCGACATTCTTAAGAAAACCAATTGCTTCTTGCACGATGATAACTCTGATAATAATGTATTTGACATAAATTCAAAAGTAATCAAGGGCAGTGTGGGCTTTCTAAACAGGATAAATGATCTAGAGAAAAATTCTGTTTTTAAAAGTGGAAAAAAAACTATCGGATGATTATTTATTTTCGTATGTTACTAATAATGTGTATGCTATTAAATTAATTGTTTCAAGACAAGTTATAAATTGTGTATGATATTATATAACGTTAAACCTACATTTGAGTACTTTTGAGTTTGAACTTGTCATATCTTGTCAAGATGTTTTAGATTTTATTTTTGTAGTTTAGGGATAACTAGTTTGCATTTAAGAGTACAAACTGGCAGATATTACAAATATAAATATGTAAGAAAAGTTATGCTTCAGTTCTTCTGATATTGAAGATGAGTATCATTTCCATTTGTACATCCCATTGATATTCAAAGTAAAAGAAAATATTTCAAAACAAGATGTAATAAAATGTCCGTATTCTATAAGTTTATTTATTTTTATAAATATTGAATTCAGATACTAAAGTTGAAATAATTCAACTATCCAGAGTTTTATAGAGTCACTTACTATATGTATATGCAATTTTTTATTTAATGTTGAACTTTAAATAAATGATTGTTTATTATCTTCGTACGTCTTTTTACATTTAGTACCATATGTTTCAAGTTACATATACACATCTAAATAATAGTTTTGTTCTCTTCTAGTGGAACTAACATTGCTTTGAAACTATAGAAACAAATAAAATTTTTAGATAAAAAAACAACAGAAAATACAACTCGTCAATAAGCACTGTCTTCAAAGCATAATCAAAACTATTATGCCAGTTAAAAAAATCTAAAACATTATTATTAGAATTAAGAAAAGAAAGAAAGATCATTGCTACCTTTCAGATGGAGTCCTATCAGTGATATACCGAGGTGAGATGTGTCCTTTTTATACTCTATAAAAAAATTAGGACATACAAGTGTCATAAAATGACAACATGATAAGCATTGAATGACCTACATTAATTAAAGGTGACATTGTGATCATGTCATAACAAATACAGGACTAATGTCTTTTTCTTAAAAACACCAATAGTGCCAATACTTTCTATCAAATAGACAAATTGCAGCGAAAGGACTTTCCCTACACGGCACTATTTAATCATATTGCAATGTTTTGTGCTTTAATTTGGTTTTACGTATTTATACAAATATAATACAAATATAATTTTTAAGCTTTTATTTTTATCTTTAATGTATTAATAATTTAGTTTACTGTGTGTGTGTGTGTGTGTGTGTGTGTGTGTGTGCGTGTGTGTGCGTGTGTGTGCGTGTGTGTGCGTTGGTGTGTGCGTGCGTGCGTGTGTGGTTTCTGTTGTTGTTTTTGTTTTTCGTGTTTATACTGTTTTTCTGTATGTGTGTTGTTTTTGTTTTATTTCTTTGTTTGTTTTTTGTTCCTTGGGTTTTACGTCGCACGGACACCTTATAGGTCATATGGCGACGTTTCAGCTTCACTGGTTGAGGGAGATTTCAGGTGCCCTTCCATGCATTATTTCAGGCACCGGAACCGGATAGAACCATAGGCGTTCCGCAAGCTAGCTAGATAGCTTCCTCATATGAAAGAATACATAGTCCCTGTCGATATTCGAACTCACAGCGGTCTGAAGTCAACGACCTTTACCACTGGTCACGGGCGCCCCGTTTGTTAGTATTTCTCTCATCTTTAATAGACATTCCATCCATGAAAATATTACGGTAATTCAGTTTGTTTGTAAAATACCTTAGATATTCTATCAATTACATTTCTAATAAATAAGAAAGTTGAAGAAAAAAATGATGTCTGACCAAGAAGAAAAATAAATAACCAAACAGAAGAATTGTAATAATCTTTAATATAAGATGTACACCAGCAATGTAAACAATAACTTTCATTTGATAACTGTATTTAACGTCCAGAAATTCCACCGGTGCATGGGTCTACTCCATTTACAGGACCATGTGCAAATTGTTTTGCCAGTACTTGAGCCCTGAAACAAAATTAATGTATTTTTTTAAACAAACTAGTTTCAAGATATCCCTTTATATTACGAACATACATGTATTAAAACAAAATTTAGTGTTCTCAAGAAAAGAACAATAAATGTTTCCTTTCTAAAAGGTTTATTCTTTACGTTTAAGTAAATTGACAATCTAGTCGTAAAATACGTCTCTAAAGATATGTAAAACATGTTCCTAAATATCACCCTTAAACTCAAAATATTTAAATTCGGAAATGATCTTTTTAACTAGAGAAAGCATATTCATAATAAAATATTTGTATACGAACTCTTTGCAAACTGCGCCACAAAGTAGATTTGTGATGAAAACATTGTGGCCATCTATTTTGTTGACAACATCAGGGCACATTGTGCTTTCACATTGAGCCTCAGTTTCGTCACATCCAAATTGACCAAGAACTTGTTCAGCAAGTTGCAAAACTGTGAATAGATATAAAGGATTATAAACAAATATTTATCCGTTTGATATTTTCAGTCACAATCATTCATTTAACTTTCATGATATTAATGGTACATTTTTATGATTGTAGCAGTTTAAAAGTTATCATAAGATATTAATGGGTACATGAATGTACATAGTATGATTGTTCAAAACATTAAATTTAAGGGTGCAACTAAGATCTTACTGTCATATCCGCCCAGTAAACTCTCAATGAAACGTTTGTCGTCAATCTTTGCACTCAATGCAAATGGCAACACAGCAAGCAAAAGGATGGCAATCTTCATGTTTCCTAATTATAAATATTTTAAATATCATTACTTATTTTGTGCATTGATATGGAAAATCTCGTAAATCACAAAGAAAATGTTTTGTAAAAACTAAGATAATTAAATGACTACTGAACGAATTTGTTCGAAAGTGTATTAAATAATGGACAAGAAAGTTTATGTAAAAAGTATCGTCTTTCATCTTAGTACTTCTATGTTTTTATAGTCCTTCTGGATTTTTAATTCGAACATTTTAAGTGTTGAAGGCATTAGCTACGACTTGACTATATTTACTGTCTCTAATGGACAATCTTAATCAAATTGACTAGTCATGGACGTTCGTTTTTTTTCCAATGCTTTCGAGCATCTCTCATACATAAATGAGCCGTGTCACGACAAAACCAACATAGTGCCTGTTCGACCAGCATGGATCAAGACCAGCCTGCGCATCAGCGCAATCTGATCAGGATCCATATTGTTCGCTTACAAACCCTATAACGAGTAGGGACACTGATAGCGAACAGCATGGATCCTGATCAGACTGCTCGGGTGCGCAGGCTGGTCTGGATCCGTGCTGGTTGCAAACGCACTATCTTGCTTTTGCCATGACACGGCTCATTTCTTTAATCAGAAAACACTACGATAACTTAATAGAGTAACATGCTGTAGGAAAGGTTTGAAATTTAAAAAATGTATGACAATAAGTATTAAAAGGTCTATGTTAAAAGAGCCTTAGGGGTGAAGAATATTATGAATTTTGTAAACATATTTTAGCTGACCAGCGCTAGATAAATTAATGAGGGACTCCCAACTTCTCTGGTTTTCCTCATACATTCTTGCCTATACAGATTTTGTGAGTTCAAACATAAATGATCTTATATAAAAATGAATACCTAAAATTTCTAGTTTACCTGCTTATTGAAAGTCCAAGTTGTGTGACAAGAGAGCATGCGATCCCTTTTTATATTTGTATGTGACATAACATGGCATGATAAGAAATGCCAACGACAAATGTTACAGGGTTATCATAATACATGCATGTGTATATTATACATGCAATATTGATAGCGCAAATTGTTTCAACATTTTAGTCATCTATGCCTTGTCACTGAGTATATAAAGATGTAAATATACATCTTTGCTTATACCTAAATTTACTAACATTAAGTTTCTGTGCATTTAAAGTAAGAAAATGTTTTTAAAAATACAGTTTGTTTTGGAAGTTTTTCTTTCAAACATTCAAAATATCTGTGTCTAATACATAGGCATCCTTTAAATTGGGGAGTCATGTACCACTATTTATGGCATTGCCCAAAAGTGTTGAAGTGTTAAACGTTAATGTTAATCTTGTCAAATTGTTTTCTAATAGATTTTATTTCAGTAGAGCTAGATTTCGAATAAGCATTTTATTCTTAAAGCGGCCTTCAGCTTTTCTAACGATTAGATATGTTATTTTTAGACAAATTGTTACAATAACTGTCAAATCAAAAAGATTAAGAAACTGTCAAATCAAAAGGATTAAGATAAACAAAATGAAATCTGCCGACGATAAAATACGTAAACAATAAGGAAACCCTTCAATATCTATAATCTATCGGTATACTCTCTATATTTCAATTATTTAAGCCCTGGTCTTCTATTTTTAGACACGAATGTCACTGACTCGTTATGAAAAGCTCTCGGAACACTTGAAGAAGGTTTAACAATGATATATTACACTTCACCAAGAAAAAATTACTGAAATACTTAGTTTGAAACAACACAAAATTAAAGGAAAATAAAAATTGAAGGCCGCTTTAAAAGTGCAAACTGACGGATATGAAAATGACATAAAAGTTAGGCTGCAACTCTTCAGATATTGAAGACGAATACCATTTACAAGTATATATTTCATTTATATGCGTCAGAATCTGTCAGTTTACTCATTTTTATATTTATCAAAATAAGAAGTAAACATGAATCATTTTAACTATCCAAACTATCCAGAGTTATTAAAGGATCTCTCACTTTAAGAAATACATAGAGGATATTTGTTTAGTTCAGTGTAAGATCGGAATATATTTCACCGAGTGAGCACCAAAAGGTATATTTCACGAGTGGCGCAGAGGTACAAAAAGTGCAGTGATCACTTTGGTAAAATGGAGTATGTAGACTCTGTTTGAGAAACGAACAAGAATTATTCCATTTTTATTTAAGATAAATATATGAGTGTGATACAGTAACCTTCAAGTAAGCCAAATTTCACAATAATCCCTGTGACTAGGTGTCTAATGCCACAATTCACATTATCTTAAGTACTATGTTAAATAGAAGGGGAAAGAGAAAATAGGAGAAACGGGTTATTTTATAACTGATTTTTGTTTTGTTTTGTGAATGTAAGAAGATGGGTCTTTTTGCTTCGTTTAAGAGGTCAGTATCACCAAATAGATGTATTGTAAGTTGTAATATTTTGGATTTTCAAGAAGTTTAGCACGTTCTACATGTATATTTAAGTGTGGACACTTGCAAAAGTAATGATATGTGTCTTCAAATTCATCACATTCGCAAAGAGAAATAATGTTCTATGAAAATATATGTAGGATCAATATTACAGGTAATAATAATAATAATAATAATAATACTGATAATAATGATAAAAATAATAATAATGATGATGATGATAATCGCAAATACATGGTTAATTAATTCATTATTGATAGATCAATGGGAGTGCATTTACGTTTCTTTAAAAGACAAATGATTGCAGTAAAAGGTTTCTGCACGAATTTTTTCAAACAAATTGCAATGATTTTTTCAAAGTTTTACATTAAAAGAACCGTCCATGAACATGCTCAACCAAATCGAGCTTGCAATATTTCAATTTTTGCCATTTTGCACGTTCTGTAGGAATTTTTTTTTTTTTTCTCTATTTTATCGCTACGTCAGCGTTATTTGTGTCGTGCTGAGACCGTTAAATGTCGCCTCGTACTTTCAGTAAGAGTTGTTATATTTCTTTTCTTTTCATGATTGATGTTTTGTGGCTATTTTAGTTTTTTTTTTATTTAGCGTTTTATCTAGCTGGGTTGTTCCAGTACTACCATTGGATACTGTAATATCGCTATTGGCATATGTTGTCTACTTTTTTAAAATGGTCTTTTGTGTGACAGGTTATCCGTAATATACAGACTTTAAAACCTATGCCCCCTTTTCAAAAAATGTTTTATCATTTGCGCAATAATAATAAAATGTTTTGGGAAAACGTAGTGAGGGTACGTTCACGTCAATTCAGACCTTCATCGAATGGTACACAATTCTCGAAAATAAATACAGTCCCTTCTGTTTAAAAAAAAAACTACCTTAGAGGAGCCCCTTTATGGTTTTAGATTTTTTGTGCCGCGTGCTTCAATATCATCTGCACATTACAGAAATGATTAGTACCAAATCTTCTAATACATATCGACGACATTTACACTTTCTAGACCAATGATTTTTGTCAGATTTATGGCCCTTTATTACTTTTAATTCTAAAATTTGTCTGGATACCAGTACTGCAATTGCAATAAAACTTAACTGGATTGATCGGTAGTTCAAGTATTTGCACATTTAACATGGGTTTTCCACTCGAATGATTTTTACAAAGTTATGGCCCTTGATTAAAAGGTGTTTCTGGCCTGATAATGAATTTGTATAGCCATCTACACAGAAGCTGATACATCTACAAAGTCGCCACAACTTTATAGGGGTCCCTTTTATTGTGCTTATCGTCAGCATGTTCTGGTTCAACGACTTTGTCAAAGTTATGGCCCTGTTATGATTTTTATTTTTTAAACATTATTTCCGACTACGTCTCTTTTACCTCTTATGCAAATTAAATGAAACTTTACAGGATTGATCGCTAGATCAAGTCCTTGCGCATATTGCACGGCTTTTCCGCTTAAATCGCTTAAATGATTTCAAACTGAGTTATGGCCATAGAATGAAAATGTGTTTTAACCTGATAACAGTACACAGTTGGCTATAATCAGGCGATACATATGATCATTGATCGCTCTCGATACTGTTTTAATTTTATGTTCAGTACATAAGTAAAATAATGATGACTGATTCACAGAAAGTATTAAACATACAAAAAAAAACAGAAATTTTTAAGCATCTTTAATATCAGACGTTTACAAATAATGTAAACAATTATTTTAATTCGATATATGTATTTAACGTCCAGAAATTCCACCGGTGCATGGGTCAACTCCATTTACTGGACCATGTGCAAATTGTTTTGATAGCACTTGAGCCCTGAAACGAAATAAATGTTCTAGATAATGCTTGATTTATTTCGGAAAAAAAAATTCAAGATAAAATATCCACGTACATTTTAGAATTCAGAATTTGAAAGAAATGTGAAATAAACAATTCCCGATAAAAAGTAAAGTCTTTACGCCAAAGATGATTGACAATCAAGTTTAAAAAAAGTCTCTAGTGTGATGCATAACATGATTATATTCTAATTTAATAAATCTCCTAAAACACTAAAAATATTACATTTCGTATGACATTTTTACTTCAGATGAATTGAGCGTGTCATGACAAAACCAACATAATGCGTTTGCGACCAGCATTGATCCAGACCAGCCTGCGCATCCGCGCATTATGATCAGGATCCATGTTGTTCGCTTACAAACCCTATAACGAGTAGAGAAACTGATAGCGAACATCATGTATCCTGATCAGACTGCGCGGATGCGCAGACTGGTCTGGATCCATGCTGGTCGCAAACCCATTTTGTTGGTTTTGTCATGACACGGCTAAATTATTTGTATACGTACTCTTTGCAAACGGCGACACAAACTAAATTAGTGATGAAAGTATTGTGGCCGTCTATTTTGTTGAGAACACTCGGGCACATTGTGCTTTCACACTGAGCTTCGGTCTCGTCACATCCAAACTGACCAAGAACTTGCTCAGCAAGTTGCAAAACTGTAAATTTTAAGTAAAGAATTATATTAATATTAGTTTGTTGAATATTTCCAGGCACAATTTTTTACTTAACTTTCATAAATGAAACAAAACAACAATAATATTGATGATAAACCTTTTAGCTATACTTTTAGCTAATGCATACTGTATGCTATTTATAAAAGACTTTTTTCCCTCTAATTTGATATTTGAAAATACCGATAATTGCTATTTAGTCTCTTTTAAAATTTCAAATAAACATATTTTGAGTACACACAGAAAAGATGTGTGCCGCTGTAAATCTACCAACTATGTAAGATAAAACAGCATGCCGTATGAATATATATATAATGTCATTTAAAAACAGTCGTTTTATAAGTTCCAATAAATAATTATAATTAACCTAAAGATGAGCCTACTGAATCTTAAAGTATTAATAGAAAATATCAACATATGATTATTCTTGTTCAATAAATAGAAGTCATAATGAAAAGGGGCATGTTTTATTAAGCTAAGATCTTACTGTCATATCCGCCTAGCAAGGACTCAATAAAACGTTTGTCGTCAATCTTTGCACTCAGTACAAATGGCAACACAGCAAGTAAAAGGATGGCAATCTTCATGTTTCCTAATTATAGATTTAGCATATTAAAGATATTATTACTTAATTTTTGAATTGATCTGGAAAATTTCGCATATAACATTATACTTGTTTATATCTTGAAGGGAACAAAACACACAGTGATGACATAAATAAGTTCTGATTTCATAAACGTGAGCTGAACTTAATTGTAGGAATAGGTTGTAAATGGTCAAGAAATCGTACGTAAATTGTTTCCCTAATGTTTATAATCTCAGTGTTTTAATATTTATCTGATCTAACGCTTTACAAGACTGTTTCTTTTTAATTAAAACATTCTTGTTAAGTAACATAAATCATACAGATTTTGTCGGCTCCAATGTCAATTCAATAACATTCTCTTATATAAAAATAAATACAATGTATATATGAAATGTCAAGTGTACCTGTTTATTTTCTGTGTCCGACGCCAGTTGTGTGAATGTCAAGGAAGAATGCGATACCTTTTTATATTTGAATGTGACATAAAAGGGCATGATACGAACCCTGTGTTATCATATGCATACAACATCGGTAGTGAAAATCACAATGAGACGTATTAGATGATTATATGAGCCGCACCATGACAAAACAAACAGAATGCGTTGGCGACCAGCATGAATCCAGATCAGCAGTCTGATCAGAATCCATGCTGTTCGCTATCAGTTTCTCTGCTTGTTATACCGTTTGTAAGCGGACAGTATGGACCCTGATCAGACTGCGCGGATGCGCAGACTGGTCTTGATCCATGCTGGTCGCAAACGTATTGTGTTGGTTTTGTCATGGGGCGGATCATATGATGATTTAAAAAAACAGCTGACTGCTACAAAATTAACCAGTCATGTTTAATATATACCTAAAATATTTATTATTATGTCAAGTAAGAAAATAGTCTCGCCTGTTGCTTCCGGACCAAGTACACACATTTAAGCCGATGCTGGGGTTGGCAATAGACTGCCTAATCACATTCATTACTTTCTATTACTTCAGTCAGCTCAAGAATACAACATGTTTGTATTCTGTCGTGTTAAACGACCTTTCATGATTTTAGTTTTAATTTTAATTTTTGCTGTTATCAAACAAATTTTCTGGAACAATTAATGCTCATTTATTGGAAGTCTTAAAGATTGAAACTTGTCACTGAAAGAAAACTGTTTGGATTTTTCGATTTAACTGGAAATTTCCAATTGTACACCTATCATTCTATTGATATTAAAGTAAAGATAATATTTTCACTTTATAACAAAATAAAAAGGAGAACAAAAAAAACATTCCGGCACGAAAAAAAAACAACATTTCATTTGATTTCAGTTACATATATGCGTAAATTTTACACGCTGTTTTTAATAGTTTTGCACTTTTATTATTAAATGACAAATGCTCACATTATTTTGCCATGTGAATGAATTATCTAAGCAATCATTTGGACAAATATCTGTTCATTTATGTAAGTCACTGACCATTTCTTTCACCGAGCTTTTGTTGAAAAAAAAAGAAATTCTTGAACAACTAGTGCAAAACATAACATTTAAATGATATTTAATTACCTGTACCGGTCAATATGTTTTACGTATCTGGAATAAGCTGATCAACCTATTTACTGTATCATGTAATATTTATTTTTTTTTATAATCAGCATTTTATACGAATTGCATACTTCTTTACACTTAGTCTGCTTCGAGTGATCATATTGGCCTTTATAATCAGCTTGTAGCCAGACAAGATAATGAGTACTTCATCGTCTTCACAAGTCGACCAGACACCGAGTACTTCCTCGTCTTCACAAGTCGACCAGACACCGAGTACTTGAGCGTCTTCACAAGTCGCCCAGACATCGAGTACTTCCTCGTCTTCACAAGTCGACCAGATACCGAGTACTTCAGCGTCTTGACAAGTCGACCAGACACTGAGTACTTCCTCGTCTTCACAAGTCGACCAGACACCGAGTACTTCATCGTCTTCACATGTCGACCAGACACCGAGTACTTCCTCGTCTTCACAAGTCGACCAGACACCGAGTATTTCCTCGTCTTCACAAGTCAACCAGACACGAGTACTTCAGCGTCTTCACAAGTCGACCAGACACCGAGTACTTCAGCGTCTTCACAAGTCAACCAGACACCGAGTACTTCAGCGTCTTCACAAGTCGACCAGACACCGAGTACTTCAGCGTCTTTACAAGTCGACAAGACACCGAGTACTTCAGCGTCTTCACAAGTCGACCAGACATCGAGTACTTCATCGTCTTCACAAGTCGACAAGACACCCAGTACTTCAGCGTCTTCACAAGACGACCAGACACCGAGTACTTCAGCGGCTTCACAAGTCGACAAGTACTTCCTCGTCTTCACAAGTCGACCAGACACCGAGTTCTTCAACCAAGATATTTAACAATAATTTCTATTTCGGGGGATAAAATGGATACAATTTTCCGGGCAAAGAGTAAATATGTCAAGTTTTCAAACCAAGTGTCATCAATAACCAATATTCAATTTAGTTTTAGGGTAGAATTTATAGAATTTTACAGCATTAAAGGGAGTTTAATAATGTGTTATTTTTTATTATTCTATTTTTTTCTTTAAAATAAATTATGCTCAGCCTAATTAAGCTTGAGTGAAATATTTTTATCACATAAATTTATTGAAATCTTCATAAAATTTATTTATAACACTATGTATGGAAAGCTGTGTTCCCTATCAAAGACCAAGTAAAATTGGTCATTTCTTTAAAAAAAATGCTGGCTTATTTCTAAAAGACATTATATATTCATATTGTGACCACCTATAGTGTATATAATTTTAAGCATAACACTAGCATAGCACTTTGTGTGATTTCAAACAAGTTTATTTTAAAATTTACAAAGAGACTGTAAAGCAATTAACAGTATTCTCTGCTATCAAAGTTGAGCATAGTATATCTTTAAGTTGCATTTGCTTGCAGTATCCATCTTTTGGCTTGTTAGACTACTCGTATGGTTTTAAACATTTTTATGCCCCCACAGAGTGGGAGCATATAGCGTTGCACTTGTCCGTCCGTCCGTCACGCCGTACGTCTGTCCGTCCGTCCGTCTGTCCGTACGTCCCGAAATCTTGTGAACGCAACTCCTCTTAAACCGGATGGCAGATTTTGCTTAAACTTTCAGGGATGAACAACCTTAATATGTAGATGGTAGTAAAGGAAGGAATTTTCGCTGCGACCAAATTTAACAGAATTATGGCCCTTTGTTGATTTTTTTCACTATATACTATGTAGAAATTTTGTGAACGCAACTCCTCTTAAACCAGATGGCAGATTTTGCTTAAACTTCCAGGGATGAACAACCTTAATGTGTAGATGGTAGTAAAGGAAGGAATTTTTGCTGCAACCAAATTTAACAGAATTATGGCCCTTTGTTGATTTTTTCACTATATACCATATAGAAATTTTGTGAACGCAACTCCTCTTAAACCGGATGGCAGATTTTGCTTAAACTTCCAGGGATGAACAACCTTAATGTGTAGATGGTAGTAAAGGAAGGAATTTTTGCTGCGACCAAATTTAACAGAATTATGGCCCTTTGTTGATTTTTTCACTATATACCATATAGAAATTTTGTGAACGCAACTCCTCTTAAACCGGATGGCAGATTTTGCTTAAACTTCCAGGGATGAACAACCTTAATGTGTAGATGGTAGTTAAGGAAGGAATTTTCTCTGCGACCAAATTTAACAGAATTATGGCCCTTTGTTGATATTTTCACTATATACCATATATATGTTGTCAGTGGGGGCATCCGTGTCCTTTGGACACAGTTCTAGTTTTTCTTTACTAATGAATTTTATTGCATAGCTGCTGCTGATAACAATAAATGACTGTAATTATTTGTAGTTAGATCAAATATAAAAATAAATCAATTAGTTGGAAAACATTTGAGCCGCGTCACGACAAAACCAACATAATGGGTTTACGACCAGCATGGATCCAGACCAGCCTGCGCATCTGCACAGTCTGATCAGGATCCATGCTGTTCGCATACAGACCCTATAACAAGTAGAGAAACTGATAGCGAACAGCATGGATCCTGATCAGACTGCGCGGATGCCCAGGCTGGTCTGGATCCATGCTGGTCGCAAACGCACTATGTTGGTTTTGTCGTGACGCAGCTCATTTTTATTTTTCAAATTAAAATCACATATAAAACATCTTGAAATAACCCGACCTAACACGATATCGTTTAAGACTTCATCTCAAGCACCTTTACAGACTTTTTCCAACTTTTCAATGGAATCGACCATACATTACAAAACAGAAAGTTTGTATGTTAAAATGTATGGTTATATTTTGATTTGACAATCTAAAAAACTGAATATTAACTATGGCAGTTTTCAAATTTCGTTCTTTCTTCAATTTTAGGAACAATTGACCTTATGTTCGAAATAGAATTGCGCAAACTTGAATTTGAGAGTAGGTCAGACAACAAAGTGTTGATAAAGCTCGCATGTTAATAGCCTTAAAATGACATCAAACAAGGATGAAATATATGTCTTCCAACAGATGTTAATAAACCATAAAGGAATCATGACAAACATCACATCATCGTGACGGTCATATCTTAGTATAACAACACTAATTTTTCTATGATCACGATCTTAAACAAATTTAAATATATCTATTTCATATTGAAATCTTATCAATTAGGGAATGCAATCGGTTCACCTAGAAACTAAATTGGGATATAACTTAATTATCATAATTAGAGCCAATTAATTTGGTCATTTTCGTGCACAGGGACCGGTGTTAGGGTCTTGAGAAATGGTATACTTTTCTTGGTCCCTATTTTAAAAATTTTAATGAATAGCATTCGATGCCAATTTATAACACAATAAAGAGGTGTTCAAGGAACGATGATGACCTTACAATTTTTTATTGTCCAGACCTTACAATTTTTTATTGTCCAGACCTTACAATTTTTTATTGTCCATACCTTACAATTTTTTATTGTCCATACCTTACAATTTTTTATTGTCCAGACCTTACATTTTTTTATTGTTCAGACCTTACAATTTTTTATTGTCCAGACCTTACAATTTTTTATTGTCCAGACCTTACAATTTTTTATTGTCCAGACCTTACAATTTTTTATTGTCCATACCTTACAATTTTTTATTGTCCAGACCTTACATTTTTTTATTGTTCAGACCTTACATTTTTTTATTGTCCAGACCTTACAATTTTTTATTGTCCAGACCTTACATTTTTTTATTGTTCAGACCTTACAATTTTTTATTGTCCAGACCTTACAATTTTTTATTGTCCAGACCTTACAATTTTTTATTGTCCAGACCTTACAATTTTTTATTGTCCTGACCTTACAATTTTTTATTGTTCATATTGAAGTCAATCTCATTAAAATCAGATCATTGTTTTCGCTCCGTTACTCTCTTCGCTACATAGCGAAGGGAAGTAGAGCAATTGTTAGGATATGATTTTAATAAGATTGTCAAAGTTAGAAGGGAATTTATATCAATAAAAGGCATAAAAATG